AAGATTAAATATCTAAAAATTTTGTGCTTATTAATTTAAATTTTAATGTATCAATTATACTTTAAAAATAACCATTAATTAAAATTTTAACATAGCCTTCAAACAACATTTTGAATAAGATGTTTTAATTTGTTTTTCTTAATAACGTGTTTTCTAACAGCACTCGCAAAAAACGTGTTTTCATTTAGGGGCCATCCATATAATTTACATAAATAATTTTAGAATTTCTTTTGTAATTTGTTTGCTACTTAAGTTTGATGAATTCGTAAATATACTTAATTATTAGTGAAAAATTTATTATTTTAATGAATATAATATATATTGCATTTAACAATCATGCGATTATACGAATCCTATTAATAACGCAAAAAATAATGATAGAATATCTTGAAAATTATTACAATCTATATAATAATATTCAAAATCCCACACAGCACGACTTTTTCCTGATGTAGCTGAAGTATGAGACGTCACAATTCATCTCTCAAAAGAGCAATTCCATGGGATGTGATCACAAGAATTTTTGATGATTGGAGCAATTTTATTGAAACCTTGTGAATATGTTCCTTTATTTGTACAGAGTGAAAGCCCACAAACAATTTTTCAAAATTTTCAAAATTTTTTGAGATATCTCTAATTAAAAATTTATGTATTTTTTTTAAAAAAACCATGTATCTTTTTTTCCTGTTATCCAAATGATCTAAATATCTAATTTTCATAATGGGACAGCAAGAACTTTGCGAGAAAAAAATTAAATCGTCCCATGCGACGCGACGGTACGCGCGCATCCTAGTTTTCACGTCCATTATATAGTATGGAAACTTGCAAATATCTCGAAAAGTACGAATTTTCGGAAAAAATGTTTAAGACAAAAGTTGTTCCAAACAAAAAGATCTACATATTTAAAACCAACAAATTGGGCCGGGGCCCAATGTTGGGCCATACAATGAAAAAATTGGTTTTCTCAAATAAGACCACTAATTTTCAGTATCAAATTCGTAATCCCTATGAAATTCTGCGTTCAGACATATTGTATAAGTGCCAAAATATTGGTCCCAATGTCTTAGATTGGGCCCAATATTTTATTTCTTAAAATTGTTTATAATAAGTTTAAAAACAAATAGAAAATAAAATAATTTTTATTAGTGTATTTTATTTGTTATTAATTGTTTTATTAATATTTGATTGTTTAATGAAAAATTATTTCTAGTCTCTATCTATTATCAGTTTTGCTTTATTTTCTACAACTTTTATTGTCTTAAATGTTATAATTTAATGTTAATTTTTAATATGAACTTCCTAAAATCTAATAATTGAAATTAACAGATTATTCATATTAAGGTTAAATTTACTGCAAATTTTAATGTATATATTCATTATAATCTGAAAAATAATACCTTTACTAATTAAAAAAATTAAAGTTTTAATATATACACTATTTTTTTATATATATGAGTCGGTATGTTTTTATGTTTTTTATGTTAAAATGTATAAATAACTATTTTTAATGTAATTTATTGAATTATATATCTATTATCATTTGTGCTATTCACCACTTGCGACGCCTATGCAAAACAGCTTGCGTGGCGCTGCGAGCGTTTTGTGAGACGAATTGAGACGTCTCATACTTGAGTTACATTTCTTGCTGTGAGATTACTGTAATGATATCTGTAGTAAACTTGGGTTCATCTTAAAACTTCCGCCATTACAGTAAGCTTACATAGTAAAGCTAAGGTAAGCTTACACAGTAAGGTCATGGTAAGTTTACATGGTAAGGTTGTGGTAAACTTACACAGTAAGGTTGTTGTGAGGTTACTGTAAACATAGAATGTAATTAATAAATAATTTTTATTAATATTTATGTGCAGTAGTTTTCTACGGCACATACGGCTGCGCAGTAAATTTTATTTAACAAACCCTATTGGGGTTCATGAAAAAATAAATTATAATATAATATATATTATAATATATTTTCATATTAGTCTATGTTTACAGTAACCTTACAGCAACCTTACTGGAAGCTTACAACAACTTCACCGTGTAAGCTTACCACAAATTTACCATGTCAACTTACCACGTCCTTACTGTGTAAGCTTACCCCAGATAGCACAACAATTTGCCACAATTATGCATCAAGTTGGCAATGGCAAATTGCAAGTTTGCATTGCCAACTTGCTTCAAAACTGTGGCAAATATCGATATGTCCACCCTTTTTAAACTTTGCAGTGCAAACTTGCTGCAAAAAAGCTGAATGAGTTTTCCGCAGAATTTCAAAAATAATTTGCTGAAAAATGATAAGGAAAATTTTCTGAAATTTGAAAATGCAGCTTTTTGGAAAATAAAATTTTTAAGTTTCCTTGAAAGTTATTTTTTTAATTACTGTACCATAAAAATAATTAAATCGTAGGAAAAGAAGGAAGTAAAAGGAAAACAATTTTTTTAGAAATAACGCTTTAAAAATTTATTTTTAATTGTAATATAATTTGCGTTTTAAATTCTAATACACTTTTCATAAAATTTTAATAAAAAGTTCACTTTTTTTTAATTTTAAGTTTAAATTATATTATAAATATGTATTAAACGAAACACATAGCTCCTCAGAAATTAAAATCTGTTTATTGTTTGTTTAATTTTATGTAATATAACTTAAATTTAAATTTAAAAAGAATAAATTTTTAAAGCGTTATTTCTAAAAAAAAATTATTTTCTTTTTACTTCCTTCTTTTCCTACGATTTAATTATTTTTATGGCACAGAAATTAAAAAAAAAACTTTTAAGGAAACTTAAAAATTTTATTTTCCAAAAAACTACATTTTCAAATTTCAGAAAAATTTCAGTATCATTTTTCAGCAAATTGTTTTTGAAATTCTGCGGAAAACTCATTTAGCTTTTTTGCAGTGATTTTGCAGCAAGTTTGCACTGCAAAGTTTAAAAAGGGTGGACATATCGATATTTGCCACAGTTTTGCAGCAAGTTGGCAATGCAAACTTGAAATTTGGCATTGCCAACTTGCTGCAAAATTGTGACAAATTGTTGTGCTATCTGGGACTATAATGGCAGAAGTTTTAAGATGACCTTAAGTTTACTGTAGGCTTACACGGTAACCTTACAAACCCTACAGATATCCTTATCTCACAGCAAGAAGTCGTGCTATTTGGGATGATTGATCTATTTATAATAAATAATAATTAATTCTAAGAAGGATATTTGAGTAAATGAAATTTTGAAAAACAATAATTTTAAATAAAAGTATTTCATAGTTCATTTTTAGGACAGAATTCTTGTAAATTAAAGCAAGTGCGTTGATAGATCAGTCGGTTAGGCATTAGGTTTAGTTTGCGTTAGGTCGCCGGTTCGATTCCCCTTGCGTGCGTGAGATAATTTAACTTTAAGATAAGTATTGTAAATAATGATACTGAATTAAATATATGCATTTCCATGATTAAATTCCGAAAACAGCTTATTTTTTACTAATAAAATATTTTTGAACACTATTTTTTTAGCTATTTAATCAATGAGATGGTTAATTATCTAATAAAAAAAGTTAACAGTGCACATTATTAAAATGTTAATCAGCACGTGTAATTTGTTTACCGAAATTGTTTAAATAATCATTAAACATATCAACATAGACGCAGTTTCAATTTTTATTTTAGTAAAAAACATTTTCTGTACTTTAATGGATCGAACCGCGGGCGGGCGATGTCGCCAGCAATGGCGCGTACATTGCGCTGTTTATATGCCGGCACGTTGGTCCGATCATTCGGACTGCGGTCCGGCACACGGCCTGCTAATATGCAGGCATTTTGTTATCTGGGATTGGAAGACGGGCGAGAATGCATTCCTTCCCCTCACGGAACGGAATCGATGATCGCCCGAGGGAATAATATGCCTCAACAAAATGTCATATACAAAACACTATCAATTAAAGATGCTTCAGACACACCGTGGCTAGTCATTGCAAATATTTTTTTTCTAAAACTTTAAATAAGAGATAAATTCTGTCATGTAAAATTAGAAATTAGGTTTTAAATAATACTCTTTATTTTGGGACGTAAATATTTATTAATAATAAATATTTCAAGAAAATATTTTGCCAAAAATAGTTGCAGGAGTGCAAACGTGTCATCTACATCCAATGCGAACAATCATAACAATTATATTTATGAAATAAAATTAAATGAATTGTTTTAAAAATAATTCAATATATTATAAACAATAATCCATTTGGAGTTTAATTCTTGTTATGCATCGAAAGTTATTTAGTGATATAAGTAGTTGAATATTTACTATTGGAATAAAAGTGTACACTTTTTACGACAACGAAAACAAACCTAGTAACACAATAGTAAGCGTTAAAAAATAGTTAACTCAATAACTGTGCTGTAAAAGTAGCTAATCTACAACAATAATGTGTTTATTAATATGTTATTTAATTTTACTGAAAATTTCAAACGATTCTCTATCAATAATTTTGACCTAACTACCTTAAATATTAAAACATAATTATTATTTTTAATTAAGATGGTAAATAGGTGTCTCCTATTAAGTATTTCATTAACCTAAGCATATTTGATAAGGTAGAAATTTAATTGACCAACAGTGAAATTTTTATGTACGAAACTCGTACAAATATTTTCGTACATGGTTTCTGAAAAAAGTGGGTCTTGAGTGGCTCGTTGAGTGGAATCTCTGTAGCTCAATTGGTAGAGCATCTTACCGCAATAAGAAGGTTCTGGGATTATACCCCAGCTGCGAGAGGCGACCCACTTTTTTCAGAAACCATGTACGAAAATATTTGTACGAGTTTCGTACATAAAAATTTGACTTTTGGTCAATTAAATTTCTACCTTATCAAATATGCTAGGAGACACCTATTTACCATCTTAACTACAATATTAAAATTCAAAACCAAAATTACCATCCTCACTATTGTTTTTAATATTTTAAAAGTTTTTAAAATAATTACGATTAATACTAATAGTATTATTTGATTTTAGTTAGCAGAAAATGTGCTGCAAACTATAATGGATTGTGACAAGTTATTGGCAACTTTGCCAAATGTTCGTTGGGCCGAACCAGTTTTTCGATTAGTCTCTAATCTCCTTGATGCTTCGGTGAAATATCTGTCAGACAATTTTGCAGGAGTCTTAGGCAGCGATAGTTTCCAAGCATTGGGAAAAGATTTAACTTGGAATATCAGTCGTTTAGAAGATAATTTCCTTTTAGCTGCTGAACGTCTTCCACCAGAACAGGCTTGCAGAAGCTATTCGAAACTTGACAAAATGCTTGTAACATCACAAGCAGATGATTTACAATCAAGACTTAAATGTGGACCTCTATTTATTGATTTCCTTAAGAGAATTCAAAATCGCGTAGAAAAATGTTTAGTGCGAGAAGCTGCAAGGGCCTCAAGAACTACATCGTGGTTAAAGATGGACCTGGAGTTACGAAGACGAATACAAGAATTAGCTTGTCTCGTGATTCTACCGAATGAAGCCACGAAGCGAAATTCTAGGCATTCTAATTTCCTTAAAGTGAGTCTACTTCGTCACAGTATTTTGCTTATTGTAAGTTGGTTCGTTTACAATTGTCTGTGTATTTTCAGGATCCGAAAATTCCTCCTGGTAAATTGTCAACAAATCGAAGTCTGGATGTAAAGAAAGTGAAGACAGCAATTACAGAATACAATGGAAAAAGTATTAAATCAACAACAACAACAACAACAACGACACAGCAAACAAAACGAGTATTTAATAAACCAAAAACTGATCCTCTCGAACGAAAAATGCAAGAGGAAAAATCTACTGCAGACAACCCGCTTAGACCAAAATCCTGGCCAAATAAAATAGAGGTGTTTATATATTTTATACATAATCTTTTTGTACTATTGATTTCATAAACTTCTTTATTTTAAGGATTTCTCCACAGTATAGATTAAATTATATACATTCAATTTCAGGTGAAATCTCGATATTTGGAGCCAAGAAACAAGTCTGCAACAAAAGGATCTGCAGTGCAGGCAAATCAAGAAAAAGTAATAACTCAGAGAAAGAAAATAATGATTTCCTCATCAGACTCATCTCGAACTTCGAGTCCCGCGATGAAACGTGCGATTGAGAAGAAACCTGTAAATAAAATCAAATTACAAATAAAGAAAGACTCGAAAGCTCTCTCTTCGGATAGTCTCGCCGATTCGAACGCAACTCGAGCAAATAACAAAAAGAAAATAATTAGCAAAAGTTGCGGAATCACCAGACCTGAATCGCCATCTTTGAAACGAAAAGATGATGATGCTGTGGGACTCTCAGTGTCTTCTCTGTCAGATCAAAAAATGAAAGAAACTGGAAAGAAATCATTAAAAATGGACACTTCGATGTCGACTGACAGTTTAACGGCGGAAAATACATCAGGAACTCTAAAATCCACAGTTTCCAATAAATTATCACCAACACTAAATCGGGGCCTTAATAAATTTCAAGCCTATGACCGCGCCAAGAAATTGTCGCCACCAATGCAATCGAAAAATACCCCATTGGCTCGAAGACCTGTCAGATCTCTGGAGAGTTCGACAACGGCCAGTCGAAACAGAGCCGCTGCTGCTGTGAATGCATATCACGGATCTCCGAATCTTCGAAGAAATCTTCTCGATGCTGCGAAAACTCCGGATATTTCTGCAAAACCTTTGAGTAATGTCGCTCCACGCACAATTACAAGGCACACAGCACAATCGGCAACCGCGGCTTTTAATGATAAACGCGATAAAAAAGAATCGCTCTCTAATAGTATTGATAGTCCCGCAAGAAAGACATCTCTGAAATTGAACGCTACTCATAAACTAAGTAAATTCCCTGTTGGCAAAAAGAAGGTAGAGAAAGGAATTGAAGACAAGGGGAAACCCAAGAGCGATACTCCGAAATTGCTTACGGTCGGTTCTAGGTCTGGAACTTTCTTGAAGGACGAGCCGACAATACTTAAAAAGGCGGACATTAAATCCTCACAGATAGATAGTTAATTTTAATTTAGTAAGCTTTGAAAGCATAAGAGTATTCTCTAAAACGCACTTGCCATTATCGAAATTCATTTCATTTCTCACAAATTACTCAAATTGGAAAGATTTTTAAAGTAGAGATTTCTAATTATTGATTAAAAGTAAACAAATCTTTTTATTACTCATAAAACTCTCTAAACAAAAATTGAATTTTCCTTAATAATACTACCGTTACTACTACCGTTAAAAATGACAAAATTTACATTTGTGTTTATTCTTTAAATCTTTCCAATTTACAATATTCACTGAAGTTAAATATAACTTTAAAAATTCTTTTTAAATAAACACAAATTGACTTCTTGTCATTTTCGACCGTGGTATATTAAGGAAAATATTAAGGAAAATTCAATTTTTGTTTAGGGAGTTTTATGAGTACAAAAAATTTATTCATTTTTAATCAATTTTTAATAAATAATTACAAGTGGTGTGCAAAAGCTCGAACTCGATCGATATTTTTCGAGTCGAGCCGAGTAGAACATTATTAATTCGAGTCGAGCCGAGCTGTATAAAACATTCGAAAATTTTCGAGTACTCGAGTGAATACGAGTACTTGAAATAATCGAGTACTCGAAAATAGTCGAGTACTTCTGTAAATTGAATTTGAATATTTGATTGTTTGTAAGCTATTTACTATTTTTTCATGAGTATGTAATTTCAAATATGTAGTCATTCATTTATCTGTTGATTAATTTAGTAATTTTTGCAAAACAATAAAAATTGAACGTTTAATATGCTCGAATTCATTCTAATACTCGAAAATTTCGAGTTCTCGAATTTACTCGAGTGCTCGAATTCATTTAAGTACTCGGAATTTTCGAGTACTCGACCCTACTGAAAATTCTCATGTAGGATCTTATATAGGATCTCACATAAATTCATATATTAAAATCCACATAAAATCCTATGTGTCATGTAAGAAACTATACAGGATCTTATGAAAAATCATATAGGAAATTGAGACATGATTTGAAGTGGGATTCGATGTAAATTCTTATAAACGTATTCTTAAGTAATAAATTATGTAAATTCCTATGTGAAATCCTACAATTTTTTCTGGTCCCATTTTTTCCTTCAATTTCTTATGTCAATTTCCTTCGTGTTTTCTCATTAAAAAAATATATATAAAAATCCATGTAAAATCTTATGTATGATCTTATATAGGATCATACATAAAATCCTATACAGGATCCTACATAGGATCTCATGTAAGAATTAATCATATAGGAATTTATGTGGGATGTCATGTGTGGATTTCACTGTTTTAATTGTCCATCTAAGATACCAAGTCGGAAATTATATGAGAAATTATGTAGGAAATTATATAGGAAATTATATGGGAAATTTCAATATACATGTAGATCATCATAGTTCCACTCTTACGCCACCGGATGGTGATAATTTTTTTTCTCACAGTTGAGATCAGTCTTGAATACTATGAAAGCTGAGACTCTAACTCAGAAGGTGTATTGTAAAGCACAATTCTTTTTCTTTTCAGATGAATTGCAGTAATATTATTTGATTTTTAATTAAATAATTTTTAATTTTTATAAACTGCCGTCTGCCAACTGAAAATTCCTATATGAAATCCTATATTGTTTCGTTTATATAATTCCATGTGAAATCTTAGATAGATATTTCAGAATCTACATGAAATCCTATATGATTTGTTATGTTCAAATCAATCATATATATGATCCCATGTGAGGATTTTTAATGATTTCATGTCAGATTTTTTGTAATAATTTTTTATTCAAGAATCGAAAAAAGATTTGATGTATGATTTGATATAGGAAAATTTCTGGTTAAGGATTGAGCAATGAATTTTGGTATGTTTTTTAATGAGAAAACACGAAGGAAATTGACATAAGAAATTGAAGGAAAAAATGGGACCAGAAAAAATTGTAGGATTTCACATAGGAATTTACATAATTTATTACTTAATACGTTTATAAGAATTTACATCGAATCCCACTTCAAATCATGTCTCAATTTCCTATATGATTTTTCATAAGATCCTGTATAGTTTCTTACATGACACATAGGATTTTATGTGGATTTTAATATATGAATTTATGTGAGATCCTACATGAGAATTTTCAGTAGGGGACTGTATTCGAGTACTCGATACCTCGAGTCAAGCTCGGGTTCGACTCGGCTCGAAAAAATTTCGGCTTGATTCGACTCGACATTCGAGCTTTTTGCACACCTCTAATAATTACAAATCTCTATTTTATCAAATTATTCGAAAAACAATTGCTTGAAATTTAATTCTGCCGGACAGAATTTTACTTTTATGTTGTTAAATTATGGCAATTATATTTGAATTTTTTTTATTTAAATTAAATTCAAATGTTTTTACTTAAATTGAATATAAATTTAAATATTTGAATCTCGAGTTTAATTTAAGTTTAAATTCTGAATTTAAGTGATTTAAAATAATGGGTATTTAAGAAAGTGAAAATAGCAACGGAGATATTTAATGAAGTTGATGGCAAATGAATTCTGGAAAATGTTCGTCAAAGCTATATGTATGCCTTTTTACCTTGCATTAGTGATCATCAAATTACAGAGATATTAAAAAAGTCATTACTGAAAAATGAAATTTAAAAATCTTTAAATATTGCAGTATAAAATAATGAAGCATGGAAAATATTTAAGAGAACTATGATCCTAGTGATGTAATTTAGATTTTTTTAAGTTGATAGAGGCTTTTTCTTATACAGTTCAAAAATTGAAAATATTGTGATTATTTTTGTTATTCATGCATTTCGAAAAACCTATTTAAAAAAAGTAGATTTTCTTAAAATTTTTCGAAATGCTAAAGCGCTTGATGTACCTTTTTATCTACATCTGTATTGCTTAGAAAGGTGGTAAGTTCCAGAAGAATGAAAATTCTATTTAAAAAATAATTTCTAAAATTATGATTTTCGCTAAGATATTTAAACCGCCTGATTGCGTTTATTAAGAGAAAAGTATGAGTGTGTACGTGCGTGCGAAATCTCATTTTTGTACGATAAAAAATGCCAAAATGAGTTTACTATAACGTAAAATTGTTATTTTGCAACTATGCATGTTTTTTTATAGTTTTTCTCCAGATTTATATCGTTCCTTAAAAAAATGTTGATTATTTTTTTAGATGGAGTTTATAGCAATATCAATTGAAAATTGAATTAGTTTATGATTATGAAACCAAAAATAATTTGATGTTTATTAACGACGGGAAAAGTTGTCGATTTATTTGTCGCTTAATTAATACTCATACGTGACGAAGTCTCAGTGATAATAATTTGAATTAGAATATTTTTGATCACTAATGCAATTAGTGTAACTGTATACTCAGCTAAACAGAAAGAAACTTTGGCATAGTTATGTAAGTTATTATCTCGTAGAGTAATGTGCACTGTATATCGATAATCGCTAGAACAGAAAAAATGCCAGTCCTTAGAGTTTTTATTTAAATGATTAATTTACAAAGTGCAGAATTATTTTAATTGTCAAAACAGCCATATCAATGATTTTGTTTTAAACGTTTTTCCTTTTTTTCTAATGATGTAACTGCAGGTTCTGTATTTCTTCAAATTTGTCTTCTCATGTAAATTCTATGTTTCAGTAGGCGTATACGTGTATTGTCAAAGCGAGAAATATTGAATTGTAGCCAGTCATTCTATTTATTTATCGAAAATCTATCTCTATTTTGCAATGTACATTTTTATGCAATATTTATATCTAGTCATTTATATATTTTGAATATTTACTTTATGTAATGTTATGAAAATATCTCGATATAAAAATAGAAAGTTGTAAAATTATCTGGTTCCTCATTTACCCTATATATTCACATTTACTACCCCAAAATCTTCGTTTTTATACGAAGCTAACTACTTATATATATAATTAATAATATAATTAATTCTTTTATGTATATTGAGCTTTATACGCATGAAACCCCTTATACGCTCAGGAAAGGAAATGATTTACATTTTTGTTGTGTAATAAAATAAGCCTGGAAAATGCCTTATTTTATTTCTATGTACAATAAATATTTTTTTACTTTTGTTTTTGTTAAGTAATTCTTGGTTAAAAGCTTTTAATTAATTAATCTTCTTTAAATATAACTAATAACTTGCACACAAATTAAAATTTTATTTACTACATATCTAATAATGTTCCTCTTGGTCTTGTTCGTTTTGGGTTTGCTTCCGGTGGTGCCATTGCTTTTCGCTTGTTCATACCTTTCCTTTCAAGTTGTTTTTCGATTATCCTTGCGTTATTTGCGTATGAATCAGCAACTTCTCGCTGAAATAAAGCATTTTTTTTTAAACAAAATATTTAATATTAAAACAAATATAAAACATTTTTGAAATTGTAAAATATTAATTATGTATGAAATTTTTTAATGAACTTTAAATAATTTTTTAAAATTTATAGACCTAAAAAACAATCAATAAAATTATATGATACGAAATTTTCTAAAAAGTAGAAAATTATTACAGCTTCAATTTCATCTTCCTCTTCATCTATTGTTGATACTGTTACGGAACTGAATTTTCCCATATTTTTTGTGTGTTTAGTAACCATAATTTTTTTCGGTTTCTCGACAGCCACTTGGTTGTAAATATCAGTCATTGGACCTTCTCCAGAACTTTTAATCACTGATCCTTTAACGATAAATACAATATTGGCAGTGAGATCGTGTTTGTAGTAAAGTAATAAACCGCATCTGTAAGAAAACAAAATTTTCAATAAGTACAAATCTATTTTTCCGCTGTTCATTTTTATTTTAATCTTACTTTTTGCACTTTAATCTGTGCTGTCTTTCGATTCCTTCTGGACGTTTTAAAAAGACGGCTTCATCTTGTTCGAAAGTCATTTTATGTGCGTGTTTACTGCCGTCAATAACCCTGGCACCATCTCTTTTGCGAAGAGGCAACTTTTCTAAAGCACAGTCTGCAGAAAAATTAAATTAAATGTAACAATATAAAAACAGTTCTCGAGTTATCAATAATTTTAAGAAACGGTTGTTTTTATACAAAATATATCTTGGATAAAAAAAGTCGTAAAATATTTTTTTAAAAAGCGCTTTGAAGGTAATAAAATGATCTTTCTATCGCATTTTAAAAAAATTAAATTATGATGATTTAAAAAAAACATTAATTTTCAACCAATTTTATAAAAGAAAGTAATGTTATAAAAAAGAATATAAATTATAAACATATGAGCTTTAAAATGTAAAGTATAAGTACATTCTGAATGAGAATGTCGAATCAAAATCGCTGGCTCTATACCTACGCTAACGTAAACTGATTTCCAAAACTATAGTTACGCGAAGTGTAAATGCACTTCATCATTACACTAGCGTAGTAAAAAACATGTGTGAAAAGTGAACGAAAAATAGTAAACTAAGCGTAAGGTACTGCTCGCTTTTCTTTTTAAAAAAACCTTGGCGAGAGGGGGTGGATATGGCCGAAAGTATTTTGCGAAATTCGTTGGATCCTAAAAAATGGTGAATTTTTTTTTTACAATAAATGAAAAGTGAAACTTACCCCACGGGTGTCACTTTTCGAAACTTTTTTCATTTCGCATAGGTTTAGTTTTGGGAGATCGGTTTACGTTAATTTTTCATTTCGCTGTCACTTCGCGTATGTTTTGTTTTGAAATATCAGCTTACGTTAGCGTAGAAATAGGCACTTCGAATCAAAATTTGTTTTAAAGAAAATTTGTACATGATAATTCGCAGAAATAAAACTTTGTGTCTGATTTGTGTAAGATGAATAACTTATTTTACCACTAATGTGAAAAATACACATTAACAGTAAATAAATATGGTATTTGTTTAAAGCATTTTTAATAACTCCAATTTTTTAAAAATAATTTTTCGGATATTATAATTGAAGGGATCTTTTAATTTAGTTATCTAATGAAGGTTAATTTATCATTTAATTCTTTTAAAAACATTTGCAGAAACAATTTTTAAGAATTAAACTACGAAAAGTTATGATTGTTTAAATTCCTCATGTATTTACACGTGTAAATACATAAGAAAAAATTTATTACACGTGTAAAAACTTTTCCTCGTGTATTTACATGTCCAAATCGACATGTGTAATTACACGTGTTTATTTTCTTTAGGAGAATTATCTCGAATTACTATAAATTATCATGAATTAGTTTCAACTATGAAGTCCTCTATTTTTAAAATATTTAAAAAATTATTTATAGAAATTAATTTGATACACTCGGTAGTTTGTATTTCATCAATCAATTACTCTGATTATAAATTAAACATAAAAATGTCACGATCATCAATATTCTATAAAGATTAATTTTTGTTAAATAACTAAATTAAAAAATCACTTGAATTAGTAAAAGTTATTTTAAAGTGCTTTTAACAAATATCTTATTTATTTAATGTCAATGTATAAATAAAGTTCTTATGAGAAGAACGGTGTTGATAAAAAGGTAAAATTTATGTCTTTATTTTTAACAGCTTTACTTAAGCAGGAATTATACTTTTCATCTTACATTAATCATTTCAAAAAACAATAATACAATTGAATATGGAAAATTACCTAAAATCAATGTCATTTGCCCACAAAGACAATAATAAATGTGTAAAGGTTTTTCTTCACTATATTCTTCTTGATCCTTTGTGTCCGAACAAATAATACTTCTCGAAACGACTTTCGGCATTATTATTATTTTCACTATAACGATTAAAGTATTAAAAATGCTGTCATTTTCTCTATATTTGAAGAAGTACAAAAAATCATAAACAGTGATAACTGTAATACATAATTATAAAGGTGCTTATATACCTCAAATTTCGATCAGATGAACATTATTTCTGGACCGTGAAAATGCGTGAAAAGTCATTTTCACGGCGGGTATTTTTGAATTGTTTTAAACAAAAAATGTTTTTTTTTAAGAAATATAATATTAAATAATTGCTTTAATATGTAAGAACACTTTAAAATAGTGATAAAAAGATGATTTGATTGAAAAATTTAGCAAATTTTGCTTTAAAACGTTTCTGCTACAAGAAAGTGTAAAATGACGATGTTTGTGAAATGGTTTGTACAGTGTACATGTGTACATGTTTCTTTCAGTTATTCGAAACAATTAGTTGAATTTAAATTTATTTGATAAACATTTCAACTTACCGATTTATTTTCAGCACTCATTATTTATTACAAGTTAAAAAGAACCGACATAACATAAACAAAACTCTGAGAGACACTAACAAGGAAGAAGCACTGTACAAACCATTTCACAAACATCGTCATTTTACACTTTCTTGTAGCAGAAAACGTTTTAAAGCAAAATTTGCTAAATTTTTCAATCAAATCATCTTCCTATCACTATTTTAAAGTGTTCTTACATATTAAAACAATTATTTAATATTATATTTCTTAAAAAAACATTTTTTGTTTAAAACAATTCAAAAATACCCGCCGTGAAAATGACTTTTCACGCATTTTCACGGTCCAGAAATAATGTTCATCTGATCGAAATTTGAGGTATATAAGCACCTTAAGTCACGAAGTAATAATTACGGAAGCTTCTATGCGCCACCATTAAGCACTCACTCGCATTACGAGACAGGAGGCACATATCACGGAAGCCTGTACGGCTCACGAGCGTCTCGGACGCATAGTGGCGGTGTTTCGTACCACAAGTGGCACGAAGTCCGTCCAACTTAGTGTTCTAAAGACAGTAAATTACGTCAAGAAGAGAAAGAAGATTACGGTAATTTACCGGTAAATTACCGGATCGTTTTTTCTCTGAGAATTTATGAGAATTTTTACTTGTACTTTTATCCTTGTCTGACACGTGCGTTGTCATGACAACGTGTATGACGAGGATAAAAGTACAGACATATGTTCCTGACTGTACAATTATTATTATAATGAAAAATATCTTTGTTACAATATATAATATATGTATTAATATATTAATATTGATATAATATTACATTATTATATTGAATCAGGTACATTTATATGCCTGCACTTTTATCCTTGTCTAACACACATGTTGCCATGACGACGCACGTATTAGACAATGATAAAAGTGCAGGCATATATACCCGACTGTCATCTTGTCAGTAAGAACACAGAGAAAATTAGGGTGCAGTCCCATGGAGCAGATTAGCAGATTAGACGTTGACCAATAAAAAAACAGTCTCTAACGGAAATGCAAAAATTTGCCGCGAGAGACTAACTTTTGATTGGCTGAAATCTATTCTGCTAATCTGCTCTATGGGACTGCACCCTTACAGTCTATTATATTCATTGTTCAAATTATTCATTTAATAACATGTCGGTCGTTTATTTATAACTTACATACTATAAAAATACATATTTAAATTTAAAAAAGGCAATTATCAATCACTTAAATGAATATTCTCATATATTCTCATAAATTCTCTTTTTTTCGGTAATTTACCGCAATTTTCTTTCTTACCTTCTCAGGTTTCAATTTTACCGAGAATTTTAAAACACTAGTCCAACTTGTGGCAAGTTCGTTAGTTCGTGCCACTTGTGGAAAGTGGATTTCTTGAAGGGTCATTCACATATGACAATTCTGTAACACGCAGGAATTTTAAAACTGATTAAAGGTTCGTCTACAATATCAATGTTACAAGAATAGATAGTCTTGAATATGATTTTCGTAGATGGAACTGCACAAGAACAACCGACGTTGATTAAAGGTGTTTTCACAACACTATTAGGATAAATATTATAGAAGTTCACTTAGTTTTTGTTTAATTAAATTGTTAATTATTTATACTTTTTCTATTAACTTCACTTTAGTTCTTTTGAATGATTTCGAATCTCATTAAAATCCTGAAGGATTAACTTGTTGAGAGGATTAAATAAAACATAATTAAGATTAAATATATTAATTGTTTTATTCAACAATTTATTTTAAATCTGAGTTCTTCCCTTTTATCTTTAAACTAATAATAAAATTACACTATTCGCCTCAAATTTTAAACTTGGATTTGAGCTTTATCTATATTTTTAAATTCGAGTCAGAGTCAGAACCAAAATCTCTATCTCTGTATCTTGACTTCTCTATAGTATCAGAATAACCCTTTCATTTCTTCCTGACTTTCTTTCTCTCTCTGGCTAGCAACCTCGATCATCCTCCTTTTATAGCAGTATTCCCACTTTTCTTCCAATCTGAGTCTAAATGTACCAACGAATCCTGCTTCGCAGTGATGACTCACGCTTAACAATTCCTCCAATTAGAGACATGCATTTAGTAATACTCCGCCCCATTTAACCTTGTTTGCCTCATCCCCATGAGTCATATTCTATTTTGGAAGTCACTGTGACCTTGTTATTGTCGCGTAGGAGTATGACTCATGCTTGACCTTGTTATTGTCGCGTAGGAGTATGACTCATGCTTGACCTTGTTATTGTCAAGTAGGAGTATGACTCATGCTTGACCTTGTTATTGTCAAGTAGAAGTATGACTCATGCTTGATTTTATATTATGACTTATTCGTGTCTGCATTACATCCTTGAATTGATAATTATCCCTTTATAATTAAACTTCCCTTCAGCTTATTTTAACCCTTTTTACGCTAATTTATTATACAATAACCCTTTATATTTATATTAATTGCAAAATAATTAATTAGTTACAAAATAACAATGTCTAATTGAAAAAAACTCAGATTCATTGCAAAAGGACCTTAATTACATTATTTCTTAAGTCCTTTCGACGTCTGCAGCCGATTTCAAAAATAGGTACTCGCATTTACCTGAAACAATCCTTCAGAGGAAAGGGGAAACTGCAGAAAACCCTTCCTAAGTACCCTTTAATCTAATATCATACCTTTATTTGAAACTCTTTTCACTCTTGCATACTTTTATTACTATTGTTTAATTTCTTATTACTTTTATTCTTAAATTCATCTTTTATATATTTATTAATTCTTCTTATAACTATTTTCTTTTTTACATATCTTTCATTCTTATATCTTATCTTTATCTACTCCTTTCTCTATCTTTATTTTATATCCCTTTTTTTTTACACCTTGCCTTTACTTATCATACATATTTCTCTTTGTCTTTTACACAATTTTCTTATAATTTACCTGTCTCTAACTCTGTTTTTCTTATTTATGTCAATTCATTATTCTTTGTTTCTCTCTCCTTCTCTCCTTCTTAAAATTAAGACTAGTACTCAGTGCTCTTAAAACAAGATATCAAATTAAATTTAAATATTACGGTACTCTACCCAGCCGTGGGCAGAGGAGCGTTACAATTCCGTTGTATTCTGTTGCCGTCTATTTCGTCAGTGCTTTTCATTTCAAGTATAATTTCATCCGGGCAAGTCCGTTTAATGTTTTTGAATAAAAATGAATTTGTTATTTTTTAATTGAAAATATATGTAAAAGATTACATTTCAGTGTAAACAAATGATATTGACATCTTTATTAATCTTAAATATTCATAAAAATATACTTTTAATTTTAAAAAATAAAATCCTCTTCATGTATTTTAAATTAAAAAATGACAACATAACCAAAAAATCTTATTTTTATTCTAAACTAAGAAAAAACTTCCGCTTAATTCTTTGTGGAATCCGTAGTTTATTAATATGTATATTTACGTTTGGAAGGAGTATTTATGTGTGAACTATAAAAAGTTTGTTCGATGACATTTACTAATATGCTAATATTACTAATATCTTATAAAATTCATTTTTTCTTCTGCACATGAAATTGAAATGAAAAGCACTGACGAAATAGACGGCAACAGGATCCAACGGAATTGTCATATTTGTGAATGACCCTTCAAAAAATCCACGTTACGAGCGGAGTTACGTAAATAACGCGCAAGCGTTAATTCCGCTCTTTTGTTAACGCTTATTGGTTGGGTTTCCTTAGTGTTAATCCTTGAAAGGAAGCGGGCATATTTAAATAAAAACAACAGTAAATTCCGTAAAACGGAGTGGGAAATCCTCTTGAAGAAAGACAATTAATCAATGATTAATAAATTAATCAATTATTAATCGTTCTAACTTCTAGATTAAAACCACATAAGTTTATTAATGTTCATAAAGGCATACAATGTCCAACAAGGAATTAGGCTTAAGCTTAAGCAGCCTTCCAGGACGAACGCACGTAAAGAACTGTCTGTCGAGTATCGCCAGAGCGGAGTCGCAGCTCTCACTAAGTCCATGGAATTCACCATTGCGCATGATTCACCATATAGTCTGATGCATCAGTGAGATGCATCCAGCTTCACCACTACACATATAGTTTATATACTGCGGTTCGCACTATATACATTATCACACATATCGTTTTTTTATAGGTAAATAGACACATTCACTCGTATTATTAATTGTAAATAGTACAATGAATAAAGTTAATTAACTAGCAACAATAATTAACATAGGAATGTAATCAATCAATAGACAATAATTATAATCATGATAGTCAAACTAAGAAGAATATAATAACAATATAATTATTGTCACCCATACAATTGCAATTAATAATAAGATCGCGTTATAACATAATATTTATTATATCAATAATAACAATTACCATGTCAACAATAATGATTATTATTATAACTGAGTTGATAATACGTTCATAGAATTCAAAAGATATATTAATTAATTATATATTTTACATTTAGATCATTAAACATTTTGAAGTAAAGAGAATGCGCACACACATGCTCACACACACGCATATATTACATGTAACGTATAAGAGATGTTAGTAGAGAGATGATGATAAGTTTTTATTTGACAAAATAAAATATATATTTAATATAAAAACCGTTTCTTCGAGAACATTCTATTTCTTTGTTTATTTGGTACGTGACTTTTCTATATTCTGAGAGTCAGAGTCGCGCCTGGTCAACACATGTTTTACTCTATTGTTATTGGAAAAAGGTCCAAAACACTTGAAGTGTTCTAGATCTTATA